AATACAGCATTCCATTTCACATCACCACACATATACGTGATTTACAAACCTTCACATGACAGATATGGAAATTTAATGCTCAAGGGATGAAAAAACAAAGAAATCTTAAAATCCCGAGAGTACGGCATAGAGGCTGCATTGCTACATTAAACTCAACCAAAGTGGTTAGAGCCGCCTGACCAAGAAAATAACAGTCGACTTCCAGCCTTGTACTCAGGCTAGTGGAGCTCAAACATTCAGATGTCTGCTATTTGACCACAAGCACTATCAAAACTTTTACTTTACAAGGTCGCATAAAATGTCTTGTGTTTTATTTCTTTTGCTAAGTTTGACATGTTTACCCACAACACAGGCTCTTGAGGTGGGATTTGAAACACAAATAATGGGTGTACAAGTGAAACTGAGATATTCATATCACAACTAAGTCATTTTAGAAAATGAAAACAAACTTTCTATGAAAACTTGGACAGAATTTTTAGATGCATACACACAAAGCTGCACCAGTTAAAAAAATACTAATAGATGTTCAAATCCACTGAGGGGAGCAAGATTAAATAAAATAATATATATTTTAAAGGTGCAGTGTGTAGAATTTTGTGATATCTAGTGTTGAAATGGCATGTTGCAGCTGAACACCCCTCACCTCACCCTCTCCTTCCAAACATGAAAAAGAAACTGTGGTAGCCTTTAATTGTCCTGAAAACTCAAAAGGTGTTTAGTTTGTCCAGTCTGGACTAATGTAAAAAACATGGCGGCCTCCGTTGAGAGGGTCCCTGTGATGTTAAAAAGTATTTGAATATAAAATGTCTTTTCTGGTGTAAAGAAAACTACAGTCCATACAATTTAGATGAAATGAACTAGTGAAAACATCATGAGAATTATTCTACATTCAATTTCTGCCAATAGTTCCCTTTCACCTAAATACAATTTGAGCCAGAATAATATTTCATCATTTTGTAGATTTTATTTATTCTTTCGGAGACACGGCATGACAAAGCCTGAATCAGTGCTCGTTTCACTGCTAATCCTGGTGTTATGTTGACATTCACTGGTACATCCTCCTTAGATAATATCACTGCCACTCAAATGTAATTTGACCTTTGAGGCTCATAACAGAACTTTTTTTCCTCAGATAGTGCTGCCAAAGTCTAAACTGAGAAATGATGTAATCGTCAATGCAAAAGCTCAGTGTACATGAGAAGGAACACTGTTTATATTTAATCATTTACACTGACTGGTGTTTTGTGCTGTTGGGCAGACAAGCGCTAACTGATCAAATAATGTGTTTTGACTCCAAATTGGCTGATTGCTGATAACTGTCTGACAGGAACCAATAAAAGGGCTCAGGAAATTATCACTGCAGCCACATTAAAGAATTGATAATGTAGGCAGACTGAAACTTCATATTGTTAAAGGCAGATCAGAAAAAAAAAAGACCCAAACTGAGTTCCTCTCCCGGCTCTGTACGAGCTGAAGGCTCGAGTCACTACCTGTATCTTCATGCTCTCGAGCGGGCAGAGAGCCCTGATTCACTGAATTTGAGAATGCCACAGCCTCAATAATGTTGCTGTCCACTCAACTGGCATGAAAGCCCAGTGCCAACCCTTGAGCTCTCTGAGATTTGGTGCAAAAAGCCTTTCTTTTTTTTTAACCTCTTTGTCCCTGCACCGTCTTGTGTCTCCCACTACGAAATAAATGCTGCCACTCTAGCCAAAAGGTCTCATTCCGCTCGACCCAAAATAAAAGGGCTGAATGAAGGTGAGGTTGCATGTTCGTTAAGAGAAGACTGAATATTTGTATTGTGCCTTTCTCGATCAGATCAGCTGCTTTAATGTGCAGTGTCATGTGAGGGGTTTTTCCACTAAGAAATCATCACTTAAAACTGCTTCATCTTTTTCTCTTAAGAAAATTAGAAGAAAGATGCATGATAGGACAATCTACGATAGCACTAAATGTTATGACATCATAGAATGAAAGCTGGTATTTAGAGTGAAAAAGGTCAAAAGAGATTGAATGTAGATATGAGACTGAGGGAACTAATAAGCAGGACACACTGCAGTACTGTAGAAAACTAAATTGAACTAAACCTGGTGACGACTTCTACAACTTCAAAAGCAACATGAAGTTAATTTAGGCTTCAGCCCTAAATTCCACCTGTTTCTTCAAAACAACGTAAAACAATGTGCAGATGACTTATTTTAATTAGACAATACCACGCACTTGTTCTGTGTAACAGGCTGATGTGCTTTACTAACACAGTAAACGCAAATGCACACACGGCATCGATACTCAAACAAAGTCATGTTAACAGAGGATCCAGGAAACCGGCGCTCCTATCGGAGCTGCGGCTCCCGAGCTTCCCTGTGCGGCTGCGGGGTTTCCAGCCTCTGCAGAGAGCACCACCTTACATAACCAAGCCATTAATATTGATTGTTTCCAAATTTGCAAACTGAGGGATCTTGCTATATGAAAATAACACCCTTTCTTCTTTCAAGTAATGATATCTCCAGCCCTCCCAGGCCTGTTCTCTGACCTGCTCATGTCTTACAGCACAGCTTCTGCTGAAGTAAGCCGTTTCTACTTAAAAAAGAAAAAAGGAAAAAAAAAGGTATTAGCACTCAGGGTTAAAAACAGTAAACGCTCTGCATGCAGGATAAGAAATGTGCATCCACAGAAAGTCTAATACAGCTGGTGTAAAGGGGGGAACTGCGCTTGAGCAAATGTCTGTCGCCTCTCAGACGCTGTGTTGTCTGAGCGTTGAACTGTAATCCTAAACAATGTCTTAGAAAGACTGTTACACTGCTGTGACCCCTTTTTATAGTTTTATATTTTTTTAGGAATCCTGCGCTGAACTGTGGCACTGCAATAAACCAAGTGCAGTTTACTCCGAATGGAACACTTGTAGTTTTACATGAACGCTTTATTAAATAAAGCAACGGAGCCCTCATTTCTTAAACAGTCTTCCTGCTCTCTTCCACGATATTCTAAATATTCCTCTATATTTTAGATAACCTGCCATATAAAATATACATTCCGAGTTAAGTTCATTTTCAAACAAACAAAGGTCAGTTGAAGCAGCATTATAATGACTTGTAAACCACATGATTTGGAGTCTGATGGCGGAGCACAACAGCTTGATGTTACAATATGTAACTGTACAAGAGAGCTACAGGTGACAAACTAATGATTCTGAAAGTTCAGATCAGAAAATGTTGCTTTTGAAAACTTGATTAGGCGTCACACACTGGATCATGGGATGTAATACTTATTAGGATTTTGATAAAATGAGTCACAACCAGTTTCACACACATATTGACCGGCACTCAGTTTTCAAAAAGTTCCCCAAACTTTTCCTCCAGCTTTCTTCTGCGTACACTTTCAACAATCGTCCCTTTTCTTTGAGAAAAGGTCAGAATAAAGTTTCAGAGCAAGGAAACTTTGAGGCAGCAGATGTTGTCCCACCGAACATGTTTTTTTTCACCCATTCAGCATTACATAACAGACCAAAGGCGCTTTTTTTTCTCTCCCTGTCTTTCTCTTTCCCAGACGCACTTTAATCATGTGCATAAAAGGGTGGGGTGAATATGGGTCAGCAGGTTAGGAGTGTCTCAAAGTCAGACTTGTGAAAAAAGAAATCAATCCACGAAGCCTCCCAACTACCTGTCTTTGCCCCGCGATTACATAAGTGCTGCGTGGCTGTGCCAGCCCACAAAGTCCCACAGTTCCCCTCTGCTGCTGTGTAAACACTCGCTACAGCTGCAGCCGCCTCGTGTTATTATCGAATTGAACGGACCTGTGGTGATCAGGAGTTGGAAGGGGCTGAACTGCTTGTGTGAAAGTGGGGGAAAAGATACGCGATGGTGATTTCTGCTCTCGGTTGCTCGCCTGTTTATGGCTAAACCTGTTACATAACCAGCTTACATTCCACATTCATCATATCACACTCTAAATATACCCTTGCGCACAGGAGGAGTGCGCACACACACACACACAAAAAACCCGTGCAATGAATTAATTGTCACGTCTGCAGCTGTTTTCGCCTTCGCGCGTTCCGGGGCTTCTCTTCTCGTCAGGAATCAGCAGAAAGACAGAAAAGAGAAATCAGTATTTCTCTGAACTTGGATGAGCCCGGTTAGTAAAGACAGCCGAGAGGGGGGTGTGGTTAAATACTGTCTGTACAGTACAACAGGGACGGGACGTGGTGGATAAATCATGTAAAATGCTCCTCAGCGACATTACGCACACACTTCATTTGACGAGGCTAACGTGATATAATAGCGTATTTACTTGTATTGTTATCTGGACATGTGGAGGCTTGGTCGCACCGGCCCTGCAGCGCCTTCGTGCTCGCAACACTGTTTTGAGAGCTGGCGCTAAACAAATTACAGCTGCTGGGGCGTCTTTTTTCCCCTTTTGGCACACAGGAACATACTGGATGTGTTAGCTGGAGATGTATAAAAAATAATCCAGCCAGCCAGACGACGCTGTGTGTGTGTGTGTGTGTTTGTGTGTGTGTGCCGTACCACGAATAGTGGAGGGAGGACATGTCAGAACAAGAAAAAGGGGACTGATCGATACGCTGGCCCGCAGTTTCCCAAAAAGTTCACTTTCGCCACTTTGACAATGACGCGTCAGGGCGCACAGGTTGGCCTGCGTTTGGCACCGTGAGCAGCTCCTGTCGGTCAGTTTTAACTTGCTGGCTAATTGATTTATCTTGCAGAGGTTTTAAATGTGACATCTGTGACCGTATCAACCCCCTATGATTTGAGGTGTCAGTGGAGCCGGAGCACCAGCAACACACACCGAGGCACACCACCACCGACCGGCCAAAACACAGAAAAACAAGCCGCTGTGGCACTAAATGAGGAGCCGTGTCTGCTGTGGTTTGGTGCGCTGTTATTTATGAGGGGGAGCGATTTAATTCATTTTGAAGTTTGATGTTTTTAATGAATAACCCCTTCGTGCGGCGTGTGTTCCAAAGCGAAACGCGGTCCGCTTACCTCTGTTGGTGCTGGAGCAGGTCTGTCTTCGAACCGGGGCTGGATGGTCCGCTTTCCGGAGCGTCTCCAGGTTTACCGGGGTTTCCCTGACCGGGGTAGCCGGCTCCGAGGCGCTGTTGCCCGGATCGCTCGCTGGATCTGGCGGGGACTCCATGTTGAATCTCGGATTTGACTGTTGAACTAAGCGCTAATGCTGTAAACTAATTCTACGTGATCTGTGAGCTCCGACCCTACGCCTTGCTATCTAATTTAGACTAGAAGTAAGAAATGAGAAATGCGAGTGTGTCTAGGGGTGGGTGTGTAGGTCTGATTGTCCACTAGCAGCGCTAGTGAGAGCTCCAGTCATGCACACTGGGAAGGGAGAGGTTGTCAATAGCCGAAGAATGGATGTAGGCCTGAAAGTAATCCATGCTGATCGACCCGCAGCAGCTTTACATGGAATTTATAATGTCGTATTCATGTCTCACGTCGATCAGCTGTTTTCTACATGTTTGTATACAAGTTGGACAAATAGTGAAAATATCACTTGTGAGTTTGAAAGTGAACAAATGGTGAAAATATCGCACATGATCCAGACCGTTTTATTAGTGGAGATAACCCATTTATATGAAAACACTGGGTTTATATTATTTCTGATTTTCTTTCTTCTCAGCTGAATTTCTACTTTAATCCTGATCAGCAAATAATCAACAACAACCAGGATGTTTGCAAGTTAATACTGAGGAGTTATTAGTTCTGGCAGATTCCTTCAGTGTGTGGATGCCTCCTGCAGACTGTGGGCTACTCACAATCATAAAGCTACTTTCATGTCCAAGAATTCAAACAGGGGCAGTCAGAGAGCCCTTCATCATCATCCTCATCATCATCATCACCACCATCATCATCATCGTCTCCGCCGGTCCTGTGGGAGGGGCGCACTGCTTTTCAGAGCAGTGTGTGCCGGGGCTGATGAAAGCTCCCTCCCGTCTCCTCACAGACCAACCTGAACAGCCTCCGCTCTGCTTGATTAAAGTGAATATTGACAGCAGTTTGCAGAGGAAAAAACAAAACCTCTTCAAGACAAAGCCTCACGCGTCACGCTGGGATCCAGCAGCCATGCGCCGCTTGTTGCGCAGCAATTACAAACACCATGCTCCCTGCATGTGATCAGCAGACAGGCTGCAGAGGAGGAACCCCGCCCCTCCAGAGCAGTGCACGTGGACTTTGACATGGTTCTGCCCCCCCCCCACACACACACACACGGGGCCTGACTGCTGATAGTCCACACAGCAAAACACAAACACAGCCAAAATATAATGAATTCATAAAGCTATTAAATAATAGAATCATGGTTGTGTCTCTTTAAACACATGCATCAGTTGAATATTCATTATGCTTTAGCCTGCAAGGTCAAGCATTAGTATTAGCAAGGGCTGGGCAATAATACAATATCAGTAATTATCATATCAATATACATTTACTTGACAGCAATAAAATAAAACTGCAAAATATTAAAATATATTTCTAAATGAAATCACAGTAAGCACAGTGAGGGGGTGAAACACTATCTGTTCTCAGATCTGTAAAATGTTTTGATATTTATCAGGTGCTTGTCATGCTCTGCCAACAAATAAGAGTTTGAAACCACAACCACAAGAGCAAAAATCTGTCTATGAACATATAATCATCTTTATCATATCATCTTTGGAAATATCGTCCAGCCAAAGCATTACCTCCATGAAAATCCACATCATGAGTTATATTGCATAACAATGGTTGTCCTCTTGACCATTTAATCTGATTGGAAACAGGAATGCTCATTAATCCTAAACACATTTCACTGATAGTGAAAGTGGACACCACAGGTTTCCAGTGGCTTCTTGTTTGAACGTAAATGTTCGAAAATGAAAGTTGACTGTATAATATTTAATTTCTCAACTACAAGGGCACTCAGTAGAGCTCATACCTCTGCCAAGGCCTAACAGTTCCATTAAAGTCAATCAATGCAACCTTTCACACGCTCATAGATATCAATCCCCAGGTACAAGGCCCATGTTCCATTTTTACACAGAAATACATTCAAATGCAGAGACAAAAACATAACCTCCTTTTCAGAAGTAATACAAGATCATTGAATTGTATTAATTTATGGCCAAAAACTTGACTGGATTCACTAAAAATGTTGATATATGAAGACATCACAGTTTAAACTAACAGAACTGAATGTATTCTTCTGTGAGTGTAGTGCTGTATCCCTTTTGTATTCTTATTTTAAAAAGATCATTACGCAGTGTAGAAGCTGTGATGTCTATCGTCAGCCTGTGAAAGTGACCAGTAGCACAAAATGCAGTCTGTGTAAGGTGTGTTGACCTTTCAATATTTGTTTGTTTTCAAGCTGGGTTAAAACTTCATTAGGTAAGAGATATTTTATACATGACAGTAAATAGTAATAATAATAATTGCATGTAACTCACCGCCAAGAGCATGATATAACTTTTGGAGCATGGCTGCGCTGAGGGCCGACTTTTCTGACAGCAAGCCAGAAGGAATCTCTCACTGCCAAGCGAAGAGGCCAAGTCCCTTTCCTTCTGCTCAGCTTTCACTCGTCCAGATTTCCTTAACCTCCTGACCCACTGCAATTTGACTGTGTGAACCCCACACTCACATTCCACGCCTGTTGCATGTTCAGCATCAAAGCTGAGAATCATGAACTTGCGAGGGACGTCAGCACCTCTTGAGGGATTTTACCGCTGAAAAACAAACTCAAAAACAGCACGTCTGCATAACTGCAGTGTACATGCTTCTACATGCATGCACACCCACACTTGTAATTTAAATACATCGTACACAGATGCATCTCAACGCTCTTTACATTTGTGCATCATTTAAGATAGGAATAAAGCAGAATGTTTGATTTTGCAGCTGCAGAATATAGCACAATTTAAACACACAAACGAAAACAACATTAACACACACTCAGACCGACACACCAGCCTGTGTTTAAACCAAAAGGATGCAAGGACAAGTTTGATGCTGCCGGATTAATTTTTGAGTTAAAATGAATTATGCTGCTGTCACATTGCTGAGCAGGGGAAGGATGTGGCGGATGTGAAGCGAGTAGAGTAAGCATGCCTGCCTGTGTTTAAAAATGATTGATTAAGCTGACACCGACTCAGGGGTGCAACACCGCTCTATTTTTCTCCCTCATTATGTAAGGCTATATTTCAAATCAGGAGTGCACTGGAGGAAGACACCAGAGACACCAGACAGGACACCCTTCAAATAAAAAGTTTATCAGACAACAGCCAAGGAGACTGATGAGTTTCCCCTCTCATCTTGTCTTGGGAGTGGTAACAGAAAAGAAGGAAAAATGTGTCTGTCAAAGGACAGGGTGATCTTTAAACAGAACAAATGGAAACATTTGTTTGACCAGTTTGGCCACAAGCACCGTCTTCACAATGTTTGCACTGTTCACTTTGGAAAAATGTTTGTTTTTAAAGTAACACAGTTCGGGTACTGGAGGTTACATGTATGAATCTTTAATATTGTATAATTCTCTTCAGAAAAGATCAGTTCAGCTATGTTTGTAAAAAAAAGTAATTAATTCAGATGATGTTTTGCTTATAATTTTAAAGCGGCAAACACTATGAAATTTTTACAGCATGGAATTTACTCTCCTCCTCACACTCCAGCTATACTTGTCTGTTTAAACAGCGGGAACAAAATATGAATTCTTAGAATGACACATTTGTTTCATGCGGACATGGTGACATATCTTTGTTGCCTTACAAATCGGACATCAGAACCCGAACCCGGCAAACACGCAGTTCTCTGCGCACCCATGCAGTGCAGAGTTCCAGAGTGTAATGAAAGAGACATATTAATGGCCTTTCACTTATTCATGTGTCGGAAATGAAGAGGCACAGTCACATTTTGAAACGGTTGACAGAATAAAGAGCCCAACATTGGGGAAATGATTGTATTTATGATTTCAGTCTGGCACATGAGGGTATCAAGAGAGAGACTGAGTGACACATTTCTGACAGTTCAAAGTGTTAAATGATGTGATGTATGGCAACATGCTCGAGCATGGGGGCACCCCCTCTTATATATTTTCACTTTTAGAATCAGTGTCTCACGAGTGAAGACACAGGAACAGCTGAAATGGCACTTATTTCAGCTAATATGTCAAATACTGTATAAAGTGCAATATATATACACACACAAGGAATATGAATATGAAAAATGAAACTAAAGTATAAAGGTGGCTAATAAATTTTACACATTTACTATTTGAGGAAAATACAGATCAATCTATTGTGTTGCTTGACTGAAAGTCTGGTTCCTTCCTCAGAGACAATGCTAACAATAGCACCACCTAGCAGCAGCTTGACCACAGAAAATCTCTGAGTCCACACTCAGCCTCAGGATGCACACACATGTTGTCTATATTTATAAATAATGAGGGATTTTACAGCATGCTTAATAACACGTGCATGGCTGTGCTTAAAGTTAATTCCCTTTTTTTTTTTTGGTATCATTTTAGCAACAGAAGTGTTCAGTTTGTCTATTAGACATGAGGTGCAGCAGAGACACTGTGATTTGTACTGATAAATATACTGATTTGAGTGTTACTTGAAGGCCACAGAGTAAATAAAGACATTACTTAGTCAACAGGACTAAGAACATTTTTCATTTATTCACAAAAGAAATACAGAATCCTTGAGTTTTCAAGTGGGCGTATTACACCAAATAAAAAAAATAAAAAAAGTGAAAGATATGTAGCAGCAAAGATATGTAGATTTGAGAGTGGGTGTCAATTCCTTCCACTCATGGCATGTAGATAGAGTTCATATGACTGGGGACCAGAATTATTTTTCTCAGTAAAAAATCATGAGGTGAAAAATGGTGTGGTTATTTGTTCCTGACAGAAGTTAAGAGCTTTTCCCAGAGGCCCTCCGCCTCCCTGCTGACCGTAAGGCAGCCTTCTCCTCCAGCATCCACTCACCTTGTGAGTTCACACCTTTACATCAGCTGCGAGGATGGCACATCTTCAAGCTCAACGCACCTATTCCCTGTCTGTGCAAGTTTGTGTATCAATGTGTCTGTTTTTGTTTGTGTGCAAGATGTCTACAGAAGTTGAATTTCTGAAGCAAAGCGGAGAGGCAGGTAAAGCAAGTGCAAGGTCGAGGTTTTTGTACTTGTGTAATTAGTAGTGTAATTGGTGCCTGGTTCGAAGGCTTATCAGAGATGCCTGTGTGGCACAAACAGGTCCCACAGGAAGAGATCAAAGCAGCGTCTAGGGAAGGAGCAACTCGATAAGAGTTTAAGTTTTAAAGGTTCAGGCGAGGGAAGCGACCCAACATCCAGGACAGAGCATTTCATAAGGCA